CCCCCCCCCCGCCACGGGCGGCTCGGCGGTACTGCCAACGGAGGCTCTCAGAGCCGATGGAAACCCCGGGGGACCCTGTGCCTTTGGACTCCAGCACCCTGCCCTAGTCCTCCCTAAAGACTGCAGAAGTGAGTAAAGATTCTGTTCAGTGCTCAATGAACCAGCATAAAAGGGAAACAAATTCTCGGGCGTTTCTAAGTCCGCTCCCAGGTGCGGGCATTGAGCTGCCCTGAGGGAAGTCTGGGCGGGGCCCGGCCGGGACCTGCCGCCACTCTGAGGGGCTCCCGGGAGCACCTGCACCCCAGCGGCACCGCGGGCGCACCTTTCACCAGCTCGTTGATGAGTGTGCGCAGGTAGTTGGTCTGCTTCTTCTTGCCCTCGCACACCTGCACGACGTCAGCAAGATCCTGGCGGACGTCCTGGAGTAACTTGGCACCCATCTTCACCTCTCTCTCAAAGAATCTGAACAGAGGATCCTAAAGGTGTTGGGAAAGAAGGCCAGAGTGAAGGAGGGGAGGGAGTTTGGGAAGAGGTCTTTTCTCCAGCAGAAAACACAACCAGAAGTAACAGCCTCAGGGAGCCCCGGTTTCATAGCTCGACCCTGCACTAGACCTCGCATGAAGCTGTGGGCCTGCCTGACCGATGGCAGCTCTGGGCAATTCTGTAAAGAAGGGGAACGGCTGCCGCCGCTTCCTTGGGAGTCATTTACCTTCTCGTGGAAGACGTACCACCTTCATCCTAGGGTGTTCCCTCCAGCCCGGCCCAGGCGCGCGTGCGCTCCGAGACAACACTGAGCTCGGCTTGACCCTCCCGGTCCCACTTGCTAGGACCCCCACCCACCCCCCCGCAAGCCCAAGGACTCGGCGGGGGGAAGGGCCAGCCACCTTGATGTTCTCCACTGTGCGTTTGAGGTGGCTCAGTGTCTGAGGAATGAGGTGCAGCCAGTTGGATGCGGTGGTGTGCAGCGTCCGCATCCAGGCGGGGCGCCCGTCGGACGTGGAATCCGGCCTTGTCTTCTTCTCTGTCTCTGCGTAGGCCAGGTCGTCCTCGTCCTCTAGCATCTGCATCTTCAGCATTTTACTGATCATGTCCACACCTGGGCCGCAGGGAGAGAGTGCACAGCAGGAGAGCAGAGGGAAAGGGACTTGAAGGTAAAGGCCGCACGATGCGTTTGTTTACACAGGTATAACTGTGTGCCCTGCAAGGTACCACGCGGGTACCTGTCCTAAAGCACGGAGGACGGCCTGACCAGAAAGGTAAGGTGGCAACGACAGAAGAAACAGCACCACCAGGTCAAGTCCCGACTGCTGGGGCTGCTCCAGTGGCCGAGTGCAAACCCCAGAGGCCTCTCCTAGGCTTGCGCATCCACTGTCATCAGTGGGTGGGCTCTGGGGTGTGCCGGCGCCAGGCGGGGAGGCCACCTGGGCTGCTAACGCGTGACCACTTTTGGCTCGGACTGCGCGGAGCCGTGTGGCGGCCTCCTGCGGGCTCTGGACTCTGCCTCTGCCTGTGGGTCCCTGACCCGAGTGGGACGCTCCAAGTCCAGTTCCTGAGCGGCACTCTCACCTGGAGGCTGGGCTGGAGGACAGGGCTGGGCTTCCCCAAGCCAGGCCCCTATGGCTCATACCTCACGGCCTCCACGTGGGGCACACCACCTGGGGCACCGTCAGCTCTGGCGTGACATGGGGCTCAGAAAACACTCACTACAGTGTTGAGGGGGACCCAGCGCCAGTCCCAGCAGGCAGCATGGGTATTAACTCGCTAAGTGATCTCAGTACACACTGCTGTATGAGACAGGGCCCAGTGCCCCCACCCCCGCCCTGCCGGGACCTGCCCAGCACCCAGGCCTCAAGCCCTCCTCTGCTTCCCTGCTGGCCAGCCCGGCCTCCCATTTGGTCACCTGGGGGGCCTGCCACCCCCCACCTCCCCCAGTGAGAGGCACGTGTTCGAGGTCGGCGTCAGTCAGAAAGCAGGCCCCATGGCTAGGGGTTCTTCTCATTACAGAGCTGAATCGCGGGCCTGAGGTGAACTGTTGGGGTCTGTCCTATCAACCAGGGTGTGAGTTTGGGCAAATCACCCATCTTCTGGGCCTGTTTCCCATAAAGAGAAACCTGGCTCAGATGCGCAGTTCTCAAACCTGAGTGTCTCAGTGACTGGGGGGCTTATCAAAACAGTCGCCGGGCCCCAGCAAGCCCAGTTCTGATTCCCTGGCGTGGGGCCCGAGGACCTGCATGTCTAAATTTGCAGGGGAGGCTGAAGCTGTTGGTCTGGGGACCACACTTTGAGAACCACTGGGTTAGATGATTTCTTGAATAGTCTTGAAGTTCCAAAAAAAGTATATTCCAAAAAGAGACTAAAAGATTTAAAACGTCACTTAATACCAAGAGTTTAAAAATACTGAACAGGAGAAAAAAATGAAATTACTTCTGAATCTAAGACAAAAATCCTAAATGCAATTTCCCGACTCCATGTACGCAGCTATCGAGCCTTTTCCCCAGGACGGAGCCCGTGCCGCAGGAAAGACACCAGCGGGAGCAGATGGTTTTCCCCGCCCCCTGGAGTGGAGGGAGGGGGGGTGCGGTCTGGGGAAGCAGGACAGCTGGGTACCCACCCTGCGTGGTGAGCAGGACCTTCTCAGCGTTGTTGGGCAGGCCCAGCCAGGAGGGGGTCTGCGTGTCTGGGAGCAGCTCCACCCACTGCACGAACTCCTCTCGCCTGGAAAGGCAGCACGCTGTTAGTGCTGTTACACGCGGGCCGGAAGCGCGCGGTGCCTCCCCTGTGGGTCCTGGGGGCGGGCGCGTACCTGATGCCGTCTGGCATTTGGATGTCTTTGTGCCCGTCGACCTTGCAGGCCAGCTTAAATTCACTGTCGAAACTCCTGGTGGTGAAGAGACGCTCCAGGAAAGTGTTGAGCAGGCGCTGGTCAAACTCATTGTCCACCCGGCCGCCGTAGATGGACTGGGCCATCAAGGTCTTGAGCGCCGCCCAGGGGATCTTGTCTGGAGAGATGTTCTGCCTTCCCTGGGGGGTGGGGCAGGCTGGTCACGCCCACGGCAGGCGGCCACCTGTACGCGAGTCCCCCCGGCCCCGTCACGGCACAGCCCACGCTTGCCTTGGCCGTGTCGTCCAGCCACGTGTCCACCGTGTCGCAGGCCGACCGCAGGTCAGACTCCCCAAACTCATACTTCTTCGACCACCCCAGGGGCGCGTATCGTAGGCGTTCTTGGATGACGGCGTGGAACCAGGCCAGCAGGAAGTACAGGCGAGCGCGCTCGTTGGGAGACTAGGTGGGGAAGTGAGCAAGGAGAGAGTCACCGGGGCGCAGCCCCCGTGCTGTCTAAGAAAACAGTGCAGCTCCTGTCGGAATCAGTCTTAAACAGAGCTTTCCACGTACTAACGTTGGAACCACTGTGATCTTAGCAATTAACACGAATATTGTTGTTAGGAGAGAACTATGCCAATTTTCCTATTAATAAAGGTGTACTCCCAACTACGCTACGTAACCAGAAAACTACATAGAAGAGAACAAGATTCTAAAAATGGTAGAAAAGGTGGATTAAGGCACAAAAGGGAACAGCGCTTAAGAAACACAGAACCGATGCACCGCTCCTGCCACAACGCTCCCCTGCCCGCGAGCCGGGCCCCGGTCTCCCCTCGGCTCCCGGACGTCGGCGCGGCCGCTGCACCCAGCTCGACTCCGGGCCCCGTGCTCACCTTGCATATCCGAGACACGGGGATGCTGCTGAAAGTCCTCAGCATGTTGGCCTTCACGCCCGGCGGCGGCTCGAACACGAAGATGCGGCCCGCTCGGAGCAGGTTCACGGGCACCTGAGCAAGACACGGCACCCGTGACCACGGCTTCCACGTGTGTTTCATCTCACACCGACGTGCACACGGACACAGAGGTGCCAGACCAGCGCCTCGCGCACCGCCGCGCACCCTCCGCGCCACCCACCTTGGGGTTGATCTCCATGGTGAGGAAGAGCCTGAAGCAGGCGTGCGGCTGCAGGGAGTGCAGCTTCTTCTCCAGCTGCATCAGCCAGCCCGGAGCCAGGTGCACGTTCTTCAGCATCACCCACCTGCAGGGCAGGGAGAAGGCCGCAGCCACACCTCACCTCTCCGGCCTGAGTTCTTGGGCACTCGGGTCTTGTAAAGCAAAACCAAACAAGCCTACCTGCCCGACTTCACGGCTGTATTTATTGCCTTATCTGCTTGGTTAAAGCCTTCTGCCGAGCCTGGTACCAGAAAGCTTAGTGTCAGCACGCGGACTTGGACTTCAACGCCCATCCACGTTGAAGTCCGGGGTGCCCCCCGTGGAACTGACCAAGCACCCTTACCAATGGCAATGGACGTGATCTGTGTGTTCTGCTCAGCTGCGAGGTCCTCCACGTGCCCGCTGGCATCGTAACCGGGCACAGAGCACATTAGGACAGGGGTGTTCGGCTTCACCTGCAGATCAGGAAGTCGGAACTGGGTGAGAGCGCATCCCACCCGACAGCACACCTGTCGAGGGAGGAGGGCCCTGCGGAGGGGCTCGTGAGAACGGGCCGGCTCAGAGTCCGCGGGGCCATAGCGTACCTCCGTGTCCACGATGTGGGTCAGGTCGAGCGGCTGCTCCATGATGGACATGAAGGAATCCCCGAGGTTTGTGGAGACAAACATGTGAGCCATGGCCAGCAGGCGGTCGGGGCGGAAGGCCTGAATCAAGAGCAGCCGGTGGATGGCTTGCCCGATGGGAGCTGAAACGAGGCCGTGAGAAGGGCTGGGGGCTGGCGACAGCAGAGACTTTGAGACGTTCTCCCGCCCGGACTGCTCTTGCCACCAGCTCTCGCTCTGCACACACTCAGTGTCCGAGACTCAGCTCAAACACCCCAGACACCACGACACCTGCTCTGTCCTCTCTGCCTGAGAACTGCCACCACCTCCACGCTGTCACTGAGCCCTCTGGGAAGAGCTGTGACAAGACCTACGCCTGGGTCTGTGCGTGATGAGCGGTTACTGATTCTAAATGGCTAACTACGTCGTACCCATTTGTGGAGAACCCTGAAGATTCTCAGGAACGGCTAAGATCACAGACACCCTACAGCCCACGACTGAGCTGCAGCCACACTGGACATCACCCCTTTCTTCCTCCCCATCATGGGGCCTGTCTGGTCCAGAGCCTCGCATAACATGCTCGAAACCAGCCAGTTTCCCCCCGATGTTGGGCAAGGGCCTTCTGATCTATTTCTCTTTTGGTCTTTAAGCATGAGTTGCAACAGGAATTGGTAGTTTTTCGCTTTCTTATGCCTAAGCCGTCTCCTAAGTTTTCACACCGAAATACTTATCTCAGGAATCAATGGCTTTTTATCTTTGGGGAGCGTCCCTGCATTCGAGCAGCAAAGCCCAATTTTACACTCTGGTCCAGAATGAAAACAATGGGGGAGGCCTCGTGGGGCTTACTTGCAGGGCTTTCCTCGCTCCAGAGGTATGGCACCGTCTGCTCTGGGGAGCTGCTGTCCAGCCAGATGCCAAATTGCTGTGGGGACAACAGTGGAAGTGAGGTTGGGACCAACGTGTCAGATGTTTGACGTGAGAAAACACCACATAACGTTCTGGGTATTACACGACATGCGCGACTCCCAGGGAGTAAGGCCAGCTTCCCCCCGGGAGTGTTCACAAGACACTTACCTCGTCTGCCTGAACCTTCGCAATCAGATCCCTAAACGCGGGCAGGCAGCTCAGACGCACCGCTGCCTCGGCCTGCTCCACCATCAGACCCTGGATCTTGGGTGTCGAGCCAGCGTTCAGGACGATCTCCTTCCCCCTCAGGAAGTGCTGGAACTCGGCATCGTAGGTGGGCTCCCTGGGAAGGGGGCAACAGTCAGCTGGGGTCTCTCAGATTCACGTCTACTGTCACTAAAAGAGCAATAATGGCTTTAAGAAGAAAAAAAAGCTCATCCCATCAGAAAACACTAGCAGGCAGGCTGCAAAATGACGACGTTCTCCGGTGGAAAGCGAGGCGGGGCAGCCGACTCACCCGACGGCGCCCTTCAGTTTGATCCTCGCCAGCAGCATGGCGAAGGTGATGTGGTCCTGGTGCAGCATGCCTCGAGCTACCCGGTTAAACGCCACCTGGAGCCAAATGCAGGAAGCACTGCCGACCCTGAAGAACTACTCCCGAGCCCCCCACTACACACATGCGCGCACACGCGCATGCACCCTGGGACAGCCGGGCGTGCGCCGTACCTGGAAGAGGTCCTTGGTGATGATGGAGAGGCGCTGCGTGTGGTCGGTGACGCCCTTCAGGTTCGGGTTCTCGTACAGGACGTTGTGGTAGATGTCCAGGAAGAACTGCAGGGAGTACTGGTACAGGAAGTGTATCTGGAAGTGGCGGAGGCGGCTGTTAGCGCCTGTGCACGCGGGGCGGGAGCCCCCGGCCAGGCGCGGCCCCGCTCACCTGCTTCAGTGACTCCATGGTGAAGTAGATGCTGCTGCAGGCGGTGGACAGCGGCAGGTACTGCTGGGACACAGTCTCCACCTCCTGCATCACAATGTCCGTCTCCTCGACTTTCCTCGTCACCTCGGCGGCCTCTTTCTTGAGGTTCTCCAGGGTCGTTATGATCGTGTCATCATCCAAAATGCGCCCTTTCACCTCATTCAGAGCTTGTAGCAGAGACTTTTCTAGCTGACGTAAGCGCAGCTGAAATTCCCCTTAAATGATGAGAACATCCAGAGTTCACTAAAGAACTTACGTTCTTTCCAAGGGGTGCTCTGTGATGCGTCCGACACAAGCCTGGCGCACCCTCGTCCTGTGAAAGTTCAGGCCCCCGACCTGCGCCGAGAACTATGGATCCAGAGACATACCTTGGAGTTTAAGAAGGTCGGAACGTTTTTCATCCACGTCAGGTCTTTCTGCCTTGAGAACTTCATTGAGACACTGGCTCTGCAAACTGCTACGGGTGACGGTGAAGTTGACGAAGGTAACCCGGGAACAGAGATCAGGTGGGAACTCGACCTGCCAAAAGGGGCGACAGACCAGGCAGCTTTGCTACACATCCGTGGCCTCACCTAACGCTGCCCCGTCTTCACGGAGGAGGGCCCCTTCCCTTACCGTGGGATCCCGGGTGGACAGGAAGATGACGAAGGATGGCGACAGGTCTATGTCCTGGTCACCGAGGGTGATCAGCACTCTCCCCCCTGTTCGCCGGACTTCACGGTTCAAAACTGGATTCAGAACTGGATCATAGCTCTCCACGTCCTACGTGTGTATATATGAGGTGTCATTGACAGGGAGAGTTTTTCAGTGTTTATTTTCACCCATACAACTGACTTCCTACTCCAGATAAATACACCTCCCCAGAAGCCACCCAGCTATTTAGACCTGCGCTGCCCAATACATGGCCATTAGGCACATGTGGCTACTTAAACAAAATTAAAAGTTCAGTTCCTTGTCACGCTGGCCCGTGAAGTGCTCAACAGTGGGGCCGCCATGCAGTTCAGCACAGGCTAAAGAACGTTTCCGTCACTGTCCCGGTGGACGGTGACGATCTAGACCAACTAGAATTTTAAGTGCAAACACTGCTTCTGTTGGATTTTTTATAGATCTCAGAGCTTTAGCTTTGCCTTTAAAAAATTTTTTTGGCCACGCCGCTCGGCTTGTGAGATCTTAGTTCCCTGACCAGATGTTGAACCCGGACCCTCGGCAGTGAAAGTGCAGAGTCCTAACCAGTGGACCATCGGGTAATCCCCTAACCTTGCTTTCGTATCAGATGACGTCTTGCAAAGTTCAAAAAGTAGCACATATTATGTGATTCACATCAATTGCATTTGCAAAAAGCTAAATGCAGCCCTAAGGGCCTTCCCTCTGGGAAGCAGGGTCTGCAGAGCTGAGATGCACACGAACCTGGACCAGAAGGGGGTTGCCGAACCTCAGCGCACTCTCGAGGTTCTTCCTGAAGGCATCGTCCAGGAAGCTGGTCCGTGTGATCTTGCGGTCCTTATACTCATTCATGATGAACTCTGTGGCCTGTCCTGAGGGGTCGATGATCAGCGGATACCTGAGGACGGGCCCCAGAGAAGTAGGTTAGAGGTCCATAGGAAGCACAAGGACGTGGCAGGCAGAGCCCGACAAGATGACGGGAAGGCTGTCCCACACTCAGCTGTGGGTTCCAGGTTTATCAGCAGAGACCACCGTGACCTAAGGCTTAATACTAAAATCATCTTTTTGAAGAACTTCTATGATGGGAAGGTAACTAATCCACAGGCTCTGCTAAGAAGGGCTGTAGTTAAAGCTTCTTTTCTTTCTGGGACACACAGATGCTTCTCTAAGAAGTCCGAGCATACTGCACTAGGATGACTGTTCTCTGTAGAATTTACCGCTACCCCTGTCAGGGCCAACTCCTGGAGGGCAGGTATCAACACTACTGCTGCTGCAGCCGCGCGAGCTGATGGCTGGGAAGAGTTTACGCTGCCCAGGATCCTCTTCCCTCAATGCTCACGACAACCCTACAAGATAGGTGTTATCCTCACGTCCATTTCACAAAGGAGGAAAAAGGGGCACAGGAAGGCAAACAGCGTTTGTCCAGGGTCACACAGTCGCTTAACAAAAACATGTTAAAAACATAATACACACACGTGATTGCACAAAATTCAGAAGCTACGAAAGGGCAAGTGGTGAGAACCGCCCCTCCCCCTCCTCCCTGGTCACCGGTTTCTGGTCCATGTACACAAAGGAGGTTTATGTGTTTACAGACACACGTGTGTCCCCGGGGGAGCACACCACCCCACACTGTGGCCTGCCGGGAGCACTCTTCACACGCGGGCTCTGGAGGAAGGACCAGGTCTGCAAGGGCCCCCGGCCTCCCACTGGGGGGACGCACGGTGACCTGTTCACTGGCCCCAGCGAGGGGCGTCAGAGGCATTTCCGGGCCTCTGGTAGGACACACTCTGTCCTGTGAATGTTCTGAGATGCATCATTCTTCACGAGTGCTGGGGCTTTGGGAGACCCGGAAGCATGCATTTCCGTGTAAGACAAATGCAGCCCCCCACACAGACCCTTCATAGATGCCACAACGGATGGACATTCCCGCCAGTGGCCCCTGGTGAGACCCCGTGCCACTTGTGAGACCTGAGGGTTGGTTCCTCTTTGTGCCCTGGGGACAGTGGCATACAGCAAGGGCTCAAAGGTTCCAAGATGTGCAGATATGGTTAAACAGGACTCTGGGAATCAGTTTTTTGAAAGAGAAAGAAAACCCAGGGTGGCTGGGTTTGGGAGCTGCCACAGAGGAGGGGGTCAGTCCTTGAACTGCACTGTGAGCCCCCCTCGGCTGCAGGCCCGTTTCCTCCTCTTACTCTGGCCCCCTCCTTAAACCAAAATCAGGGAGCCGCTTCCCTTAACTCTCTCTCTAGCTAAACACTTCCAACTCTTGTAATATTTTAAGATACAGTCTGTTTTTTGTTTTTGTTTTTTGGCCGCACTGCATGGCTTGGGGGAATCTTAGTTCCCCAACCAGGGATCGAACCCACACCCTTAGCAGTGAAAGCATCGAGTCCCAACCACTGGACCGCCGGGGAATTCCCGAGAGGGTCTGTTTTGATTTTCGCCCAATACACAGCCATGCCCATCAATTTCAAAAGGTTACATGAGGCTTGCCTGGTGGCGCAGTGGTTAAGAATCCGCCTGCCAATGCAGGGGACACGGGTTCGAGCCCTGGTCCGGGAAGATCCCACATGCCGTGGAGCAACTAAGCCCGTGCGCCACAACTACTAAGCCTGCGCTCTAAAGCCCATGTGCCACAACTACTGAGCCAGCATGCCACAACTACTGAGGCCCATGCGCCTAGAGCCCGTGCTTCGCAACAAGAGAAGCCACTGCAATGAGAAGCCCACGCGCCGCAACCAAGAGTAGCCCCCGCTCACCGCAACTAGAGAAAGCCCGCGGGGAGCAACGAAGACCCCATGCAGCCAAAAATAAATAAATAAATAAATTTTAAAAAAAGGTTACATGAGAACCACTCATTGTACAGAGTTTGGACAGTCACAACGTAAGAAAAAGGGAACCGTGCACAGCCCACCATCAGAGGTGAGCACGCGGACCCTCCCAATGTCCTATTCACCTCTTCTAAAGGTGTGTCTTGAAAATAAATGAAAAGGGGAGCACTGCACACAAAGACTTCTAACCCGCGCCCTTGCTGCGCACAAGCATGTACCTATTGAAGCGTTTCAGCATGATGGCGTTCTCTGTGCACAGGTCGTCTGCAGGTAGGGAGCTGGCCTGCCAGCGGAGACGCTCGTCAGCGTTGGACAGATACTCTGTCCTCGCGATATCTGTGCGGAACTGAGAGGGACAGCAGTTACAGATCCTTTTCTTCAGGATGCAGACAGGCACGGCTTCCCAGTGGAGATGGTGACAGCTTACTGACCCTCATTTTGGCTCCCACCTTTTTGAAATTCCCTGCGGACGGTTACCTGGATGTTGGCTTGCTGTAAGTGATGGGACCAGGTGGTAAACAAGTTCTGGCGCATCTGCTGGTCAAAGTAACCCGCATAAGCAATAAACGCAGCTGACAGGAGACAGTCCCCGGCGATGGTGGACATCTGGTTCTTGAAAGTTTCGCTTGTTTTTTCCCATCGTTCCCGTTCAGCAGACAAGCTCTTCAGAAGAGCGGGGCTCCGGTTTACC